AAGTTTTTTAGCTGTTCTGTATTATTTTTGAGGAGTCTAATTCAAAGGGATTTCATTTTCTTTATTTTCTTCCACAATAAGAAAAACAATAAATGTTTCAAGAAATAAAGATAACTTTATGTGTCTCATAGTACATTTAACATAAATAATTCCCATTATTGGGCATAATTCTTTTAATAGTCATAGTCCTGGGACTCGGGGCTTTTATCCTTCATTCTCAATATTAAAGAGAGAGAGAAATCAGGGTTATTACTACACTGTCTTATTTCAAGCTCACTCCTCCACACTATAAGTTCAAAGTATGCCACCAGTCAGCATTTTGCATTGGAAGATGTGTGTTTTTTGTTTGCTTACTTATTATAGATGTTTTCCCACACTGCCTCTGACTTGACTGAGAATAAAAATTAAGTGGAGAATTTTTTTTTAAATCTTTGGCTTGTCTGTAAAGAATTGAAAACAGCAAATAAGAAGTAATAAACAGTATCAAGAGACAGATGGCCCACTTACTTTAATTTTTAATGAAGATAGCAAAGAGCCTACCACAAAAAATGTATCCCAACAAGTCACCTTGTATTAGCCAATACAGTATTCATTTGAATTAAAACCCAATGGGTCAATTGTCATAATAAACCTTTGCCATACAAGTGTAATGTCTCACATAACAACGCCCACCCCCACCCCTCCTCCACCTCACTGCCATGGAGTTGACTCACAGTAGCTCTAGAAAACACCAAGCTCACTGCCACTGAGTTGATGCCAATTCAAAGCGAGTCTAGGGCAGGGTAGAACAGCTCCTGTGAGTTTGCGAGCTTGTGCACTCTCTCTCCTGCAGAGGGCAGGTGATTTCAACTTTATGGTGTACAGCTCAACTTGTAACCACTACATCACCAGAGTTCGGGAAAACTGAAACTGCCCCTGTGGGTTTCTGAGACTGTAACTCTTTATAGGTATGGGAGTACAAAGCCTCTTCTTTTGCCCATGGAACAGCTAGTGGTTTTGAACTGCTAACCTCACAGTTAGCAGCCCAATGAATAACTCAATAGACTACCAGGGCTTCTTAGTTGTTCACATAGAAGCTAAAAATTGGATGCCTTACTTCCTTATGTTATCTCATTCCCCATTCACATCTGCAAAGTCAGCAGTATCAACAGAGACAAAAAAAAATCAAACCTTGAAAAGGTTAAGGGAAATGCCAAATGTAAAGGGGTAATAAGTATTGAAATGAGATTCCAACTCAAATCTATCTTATTCTAAACACAACCAGAGGCAATGGAGCATACTACAGAAAGAGTAGTTAGTGTGGAACATGATCATGAGGTTAGAAATACTTGGGCCCCATATTAGCTATAACCTCTCTAAGACTCACTTTCTTCATCTATAAAATAGAAGCAATAATCCCCTAAAGTTATTATAGGACTAAATGTCATATATGCAAAATATTTAGCAGCAAACCTATTGCACAGAAAACCCAGTAAGTGACAGCAACATATTAATAATTATGCCACTCCTCTTCCTGGGAGACAAAAAGTATTAAAAAGAAAACAGCAATTTAAAATGTTTTGCAAGAATGTTAAAAGTACATTAAAAAAACAAAACAGGATTGCTTCATTAGCAGAAGTATAGATGGCAGTGTTCCACTGTGGTTAATAAATAAAATAGAGTGGACAGCTGCCTTTACCTAAATCAAACGGCATATTAAGCTACGACTTCTACAGACAGGACTCAGTGAAGAGCAGGAAAATAGGTCATTGATGGACAAAACTGAGGGCACATCCATAAACCAACCTCACTGCCATTGAGTCAATATATCAAGGGTAATACGGGAATAATAATACCAACTTTCAAAGGAGGAGAGCAAAGCTGCTCAAAAAGCACATATATAAAAAGTGCTCTTGCTGGGAGGCGCAAATTTAGTAGAACAAATTAACATTTCCTGAGAAAATTCTTTAAGAGATTAATCTGGCAAGTCAAGTAAAATTGAAGTCCCTAATTATCTGCCAAAGAAGCCCTGGATGCACAGTTAAATGCTCAGCTGCTAGCTGAAAGGTCAGTGGTTCGAAACTACCAGCCATTGCACAGGAAAAGAATGCGGCAGGCTGCTGTGGTCAAGACTTGTAGCCTTGGAAACTCTCTGTGGCAGTGGTACTCAGCCCTGTGGTGTCACTCAGAGTTGGAATTGACTTGTGAGCGATGGATGAATGAATCGCCGTGGGCCACGAGTTTCCCTGCACATTCGTGCTGAGTGTGCCAAGACTCTGAGGCCCAGATTTTCCTTTTACCCAGTCAATCCCCAGGGATTTTAAGCAGCTGGTAACATGCCCTCCAGGACAAAGACCAGGCCTGCTTACTGCTAATGAAAGTGTTGGACTCCCCCAGTCCAGTGTTCCAGAGCTGCAACACGCCCACTACATAAAAGCAACCATGGGGTGCCTCTGTGTAGCCCCCACGGGACTTGGATTTTAGGGAGAAGTGAAGGAAATTTCTATTACTCTTTCTTTGCCATACCAAGAATAATAGAGTTCTCTGTCTCCAACCCAAGAATATTTACCTTTTTTGCTAGTCTTCACGAAATAATAACAGGCAACCTTGTTAGCTTATCAATAAGGTAAAAACCTAATACTAGACCTACAACCATTAAAGTAATCACCTGGATAGCATGCTCCCAACATTGTAAATTTCTCCAAAAAGTTAGTTACGCAAGACTCTAAAAACCAATTCCTTTTTGTGTCAGTACTCACAATTCCACAGACAACAACACTTAGAGGCTAATAGAGGCTAATAGAGTTTATTTACTCTATAACTACTATTTCATCAAGATCATCCAAATATGTTTTTTGGTTCTTTTTCTCCCTTACATGAAACTGCTTTCTGGTATGAAAAACAAAACATTTTTAAAAAGTGAAAAGGGCTGCTTACTAATCTTTTTAATGCTTCAAAGGAAACTTTAAAAAAAATCATTTTCAAATTCGTCATAAATCATTAAGAAGTAAATGTCTCACCTGCTCCAGCTGGGTAGCAAATGCTATGGTCACTGACATAATGAAGGAGTCAGTACAACACTCTGCTGATCCAATCTGATGGTAGCCTCCCTCCTCGTTCAGCACTGCCACAAGGTCCTTGGGGTCAAATCCAGACAGGCCAGCAGGTACTTAACACAATAAAATGTAATTTAACGTGTGCACTTTAACATAATCCATCACAAGAGGTTTTTAAAAGCTAATCATACATTTCCATTTGCTTAGCAGTTTTCAGAGATATTATCTTAAGGAGCCAGGGTGGCATAGTACGTTACACATTTGGTCAACAGTTTGAAGGTACCAGCTGCTCTGCAGGAAAAAGAGGACGCTTTCTACTCCCACAGAGATTTGTGTTGCAAACCCGCAAAGACAACTCTATTCTGTCCTACAATTACTGAGTTGGAATCAATTTGAAGTCATTTGAGTTTGGAGTCATCTTACTAGTGTCCTTTAATTTCGTCACACTCTCCATAGCACGCCCATCTAATCAACATTTTCTCTTTTTATGTGAGAGTGGAATTCTAAGACAAATTTATATTAAAACGTGATAACTCTTAATAAACCACATAAAAGGCATTTAATAAGCACAAAAGCACACTATGTGGCTGGAGAGCAGAAACAGACAGGTTTGCCCAGAGGGTGGATGGATATGAAAACACGAGGATGGGGGATCACAAAGGTCTGATCCTAATGGTTATTCTAGAATTTGGGGTTGAAATATTTGGATAGCTTTCTAATAAGAGGATATCATAAAACAATTGTGAGAAATCAATATAACCAAGTAAGCTCAGAGTGAAAAGACTGAGGGACAAAGGTTGTTCAAATCGGCCAAGCACACTCACATGCACACAACTAAAACGGCAGACCCTATCCAGTGTTAAGAAGTCACTCCCCACATTGGTAAGTACGGACTAATACAGCAGATCCTAAAACCAAGCTAGCCCTCTTCTGGGAAGTCTTCTAAAACAAATAACATACTAACTGGAGCATGCCTGAAAATGTTGTAATGGTTGAATACAGACTGACGTGGCACAGAGACCTAACTTCCAAACACACATCTGTCATTCACTAGTGGAGTGGGGGAAATTACACAACCTCCTTTGGTCTCTATTTTGTCTTCTACAGGACTTCTTACAGGGCTGCTGAGATTAAATTAAATAATGAAAGTAAAGTACTGACCACACTATCTGATTCATTAAGTACATCAATAAAACCGAATTCACTGCCATTGAGTCAAGCCGACTCATAGAAACCCTGTAGGTAAGGGTAAAACAGCCCCTGTTTAGTTTCTGAGACTGCAACTCTTTAAGGGAGTAGAAAGCCCCATCTTTCTCCTGAGGAGCTCCTAGTGGTTTGGAACTACTGAAGATTCAACAATGCTTTCAGGCTGACAGAGAATACAGAAGCATGAACATTGAATGTTATATCTCATTGTAAACTAGATACTTTGGTTTATCCTCACGGAAGGTAAGAGTGCTATTACTGGAGCACCAATGCCCTCTCTTAAGGTATTTTAGGAAGACAAATTAATCTCAAATGGTACAGGGGGAAAAAATTCTTTATCCCTCCAACTATATAATAAGTTGGAGGGTATTTCACAATAGGAAAAATGGTAAACAAATTTTTAACAACAACAAAATAACAAAGGCTCTGGAATGTGATTTTGAAGTTCTTACTTATCACATCTTGGCCAAACATATCTCAGATATTCAGATTTCCCGTCTCTGAGTATGTGGTTAACCCTGGTGGCACATTGAGTTCCATGGGGAAAAGATGAGGCTTTCTGGTCCTGCAAAGACTTACGGCCTTGGAAACCCTCAAGGACAGCTCTAGTCTGTCCTGCAGGATCCCTCTGACTCAGAAGTGATTCCATGCCAGTGACTTTGGTTTTAGCTTTGACAAGAGAGTCAAATGAAGATGCCCAGGAAGCAGATGATGTCTGCATGAGAAGGCCTAGTCTTAGGAACAAGAGCGAAAACAGAAGTTAAGGGAATAGATAATATCACCCGGGGCACAATACAGAATAGAATAAGATGAACTCTCCATAATACTGAAAAGACGGCCAGAGAAGTTGAAGGAAAAACAGCTTCTGTTAAAATTCTGAGCTATCGTTTCTAAAATCTCACTCTAAAAGGCAATTTTCAATATTAAAAAGCATAAGACACAGATTTTATAAATTCACTCTTCTGATCTAAGAATATTCAAGGGACTTCAAAGTTTGTGGAAAAATTCCATTACCTGTTAATTCCATTTCCTTTGAACTTTTTGAAGCCTTTTCCATTATGCCCAATTTAGAATGAGCATTATAAATTTTACATCTAATTATAGGGCATTACTTTAAATTAAACGAAAACATAATATAGTACCAATATTGTCATTTAAATTTCAATATTTCCTCCTATCTGAGGATGTTTTTTATTTCTAAAAGAAATGTATCTTCTCCACACAAAAGAAATGTCCACAGAGGGCACAGGAGGTGTAATCCTAACATAGTCAAGTGGGCCAGGACTAGAGACCATCTTGGTTCATCATTGTATCCAAGGGAAAAGTGAAAGACAAAAAATTTTAAAGAGTCCACAGGTTTTGTTAAAACTACAGTTAATAAACAAAGAACAGTCTAAACATGATAGACTTTCCTATACGCATTTTGAGACAAAAATGTTCCTAAATGTCAATTTTTTAAAACAAAATAGAATTATTCTTCATTTTATGAATTTAGAGAAACACTCTTGCTTCTAAGATGCAAACAAGGGCTAAGAGCAACCAGTTTTACATGACTAACAAAGTCAAACTATTTCTCGGATGCCCAGCAGCCCCGCTTGCTGAAGTTCTCGTTGAAACATGAAACTTCGCAAGCGAAGCACTTGGAGGAGATGCACAAACCTTTCCCATCGCGGGGGGGTGCTCCTTTTGCCTTGAAAGCATCAGCAGGTGCCTTTGTGTCAGTTTCCAAAGAAATGCTTATCTGTATTTCAGACTTGAACTTGGTGTATTTGTTACTCAGCAGCTGGTACCATTTTGGTGCCTAGAAAAAAACAACATACTTTAATAGTTAATAAAGGAGAAAATTGGGAAATATCTTTTATATATCACTGCTTAGTACTTTCTTCTCTTTTAAATTATCAACACCACCACCCACCACTGAGCCCGCATTTCCCGCACACACATTAATCTTGCTTAGGAAGTCTTCAATTTAATTTCCCTTTGAAAAAACTAAATATAAATTCAGATTATCTTTCTTGCTTACATTTCTATGCTTCAACAGGTGTACAATTAAGGGGAAAATTAAATATATTTATTTCTACCTTTGGCCTAAATCTTCAATCTCACTTCATTCCTTAAATAACAACAAAAATTTACCAATTTTTAGTTTCCCTAATCCCTACTGATCCTGCCCAATACATTTCCAACTTGTTCTACTGTGTATCAAAATAGGTAGAGCTTAGGGTAATAAAAGAGTAACAAAATATTAAAGGAAAGGGCTCATGGTAAAGTTTTGGATAATAAACCATGCACTTGATTGATGTGAGAACATAAAGGCCTCATCACGGAATGAAATATCATGACACAGCTGGCTAGCGGACACAAGTCAGATCGGACTTAACAGGCCATGGTGAAAACTTGATTCTCATCCCTGGGGTAATGGGAAGACATTCAGGACAATGTGGTTTTCTTTTGTTGAGGATGAAGAAATACGTACACAGAACAAATGTGCATCAGTAAACTCACTCACTTTAACTTCTTATGTTGGGGCTTGGAAAAGAAGAAAACAGGGACCAGTTAGAAGCTACAGTGATAGCCAAGGTGGAAATGATTTAGGAGAGTGGGAGCTGTGAAAACGCAGAGAAGTAAATGGCAGAATAACTAAAACAACTGGACAGTAGGAAAGGGGGGTTTCAAGGAGGAGTTCCCTATTTCTAGCTTACAGAATTGGAAGAACAGTAGGGACCATGCAGCAAAGGGAGTACTCCTTTCTTCTGAAAGAAACCCTCAGGAATTGAACATGTTGAACTTGAAGCAACAACAGCATGAACACAGGTGTGAGATTAGAGAGAATTTTCTTTGAGAAAGATCCGAAAAACCAAACGAACTGCCCGGCAGCTGATGGCACCTCACGGCAACCCTGTACAGCATTTCCGAAGTCTTGTAACTCTACAGAAGCAGTCGGCTCCATCTGTGGTTAGCAGCCCAACACTTCCACAACAGGACCACCAACCAGGGCTCCCTCTCAGGAGCATACTTCTAGATTAGAGGAAGGATTAAAAAGTGTGGATGTTTTCAACTGAACTCATAAAACACTGGAACTGCCATTTGAGCTTAAGCCCATGATCCGTCAGATCCAGTATTCCATGTTAGTTTGTTCTCAAAAATCTGATCTCTCCTGAAAACAATCAACTAGCAATCATTAACAAAATACCTGAAAGGGCAATACCTGCTTTGTTTCTTGAGCAGTTCTTAAATCCAGAACAATGTAACCTATGGTTTCCTTGGCTGAAGATAATGGATCCAAGGCAAAACACTGGAGTTTGATAGGAGTACGTTGTAACCTGACAAAATATTGAGATATATTAAATAGATTTATTATTTTTCAATATTGAATTTTTACATTGCTTATTATTGAATTGCTTTGCATTAGCCTTTTCAAGTGCCTGCTACTATCAAGTTGATTGTCATTCTGTTAGATAAGCTATTCTCACTTTATATTTTCTGAAAAACTCTTCACCTGAGGAATATAAATGATATACAACCACTGAGGAAAATATAAAGCATGCAAAAATTTTAATCACTCTTGTATAGGAGGCTATCATTAAGGGTAATGCTTCTCAAACTTCTGTAATATACAGAACCCTTTTAAAGACAAAATCTATCACGAATCCTGGGACTTGATTTTAAATAAGTATTCTTACACTGTTCAAACGCAACTAATACTCATTGCCATCGAGTCCACTCCGACTCATGACGACTCTACAAGACAAGGTAGAATCGCCCTCATGGCTTTCCAAGGCTGAAACTCTTGACAGGAGCAGAAAGCCGCATCGTTCAGAATGGATTTGGAATGGGTTTGGAACTACTAACCCTGTAATTAGCAGCACAATTTGTAACTAACCCACTATGCCACCAGAGCTCCTTTCTTATACTGTTACCAACATATAAAACTATAAATACACATACAGCACACAGAGCTCTTTTTATAGCTCTAAAACCAAAATAAATTTAGGAATCAAATATCATGAGATTATAAAGGATTACAATTTAATCTAGAAATAATTTACTGTACCGGGTGACAGTGTTTTATAAGCACACTATTGACTGGTTTAGCACAGGCTCTTTTTCAGTTTGGGACCTCTGTGGAGGTTTACAAGACGGTGAATCCATTAGATCCTTCCATCAATTTTCTCTACTGGAGTTAGCAGGACACAAAATCATCACATAGTCGATTTATCTATGCTACTCTCTTAGTCAACAACAACCTGAGTGTTCCTCTGGGCACTAGTGTACGTGTAAGCACAACCCGCAGTGCAGACACTGACCGCGCACAGAGCTACTTACTCTCAGTGCTCATTCTAGATGTCCCAGAAAGAAATACCAAATTTCTGTTTCTCTAAGAATGCACTATCCTTTCAACTAAAGCCATGCACTAATCCAACAACTGAAAAATAAATTTCCAACTTCTTTCTTTTAAAAAATTCTTGATTTTTATGTTTGCTGCTGGAAAAGTTTTAAGTATGGAAGGGATTACATGTTTCCCAAGAAGGAAATATATTTCCTTAACTTTTTTAAATGAAAGATTATCAATGCTGATTTCTTGTCACAAGAGGTCAAAGATAAAATGCTATAAACTGAAACCTGTTTTACCTACTGATAAAGTGTTGAAATATCTAAAACTATATTTATAAAAGTTTTTAAATTCTAATATGCTCATTTTTTATAATTTTAGAACTTTTCATAGATCTTTCTATCTTGCCTTGACAAACTAGGTAAAGTATACAAAAAGTGAATCAGAAATTAGAGTAAACTCCAAAGTATATTTAATATTAAGTAGGCATTCCTATAGTACTTATAAAATGTATCCGTCCACGCATTAGTATATAAAAAAAAAAGTCAGCCACCCTTGAGTACCAATATGAACATAAAGAAAGGATTTAAACTCAATAAAAGAAACAGTATCAGTCACACACAAAAGGCATCTTAGGCTTTAGAGCTAGGACCTCATGCCTCAGTTTCCTCATCTGTTCTGCTGGAAAATAATAGTACCCATTTCATGGGTTTGTTCTGAAGTTTGAGTGAGTTATTGAAGCACAGTGTTTAAGAAAGTTCCCAGTAGATTAAAAATGTAATCTCATTATTATTCATTTGACGTCATAAGACGTACAAAAATTTACAACAATCTGAAAAAAGGGAGGATAAACTAGATGCCAGTTTAATATAATAGTCACACAACGCAGCAAATCAGGGGGACACACAACGCAGCAAATCAGGGATACAAACAACAGAAACCATGGGGGAAGGGAAACAGCAGTCAGTGTAATATATGAAAATAACAATAATTTATAACTTATCAAGGAGCCAGGAGGGTGAGAGAGTAAAAAAGACTGATACCAACGACACAAATGGAAAGTAAGTGCTTAAAAAATAATGATGGCAACATGTGTACAAATGTGCTTGATACAACTCATGTACGATTGTTATAAGAGCTGGAAAAGCCCCCAATAAAATGATCTTTTAATTTTTAAAAATTGTTTTTTTAAATCGGGTGGAGAAGGGTCATACAACTCTGAAGACTACAATCAACATCCCCAAATGTCCATGTAGACACTTGGATTGGTATATGTCTTTACTGTGTATACTCTCAACAAAACAGAAAAAATTATTTACAAAGGAAAGTTCAATCACCTGTGCTGATGAAGCGCTTTTCTGTCAATTTCCCATGCCAATTCAGTAGCAAATTCTGGCTGGTCAGTATGGTCCACAGGATCCGTAGCCAGCTGCTCGCCATCAAACTTTGCTTCTACTACCAGCATATGCTTTGGACGTTTAGGGAAATGGCGACCTGGAAGAATAAAACTACACAAGTTCATTGGAGCTGCATACAAGTCTACTGGGGTTATTTCTTTAATGAGGGGGGGCTTCAAAAAGTTTGTGTAAAAACAATTAAAATACAGCAGTGTGGCAGTTACATAATCTGTCAACTTGTGAAGGAGTGGAGTCTAGCCTGTCAATCAGGCCATTGTCAGTAATGCCTCCTTGTGGGCATGGCCTTCTCCTGAGAATTCTGGGAACTTCTGTATTCCTCCCTGGAGGTGGGAGATGCTCTCGGCTTCATCTTTCTGCTGACAAGTTACATGGAGGTACACTGATATTGCCAGAGCCCTGGAACTTGAGGGGCCATGTGAAGACTCATGCCAACAATGAGAAGCTTCCAATACCACTGGATCCAAAAGATCTTCCAACCACTGGCCTGTGATCTTCCTGCATTCAACATCATTGCCTGGTTGTGTGATTCTAAAGAGGAATTTATGGACTAGTATTGACATATGGGATAATATAGGGCTTATGGACTTGATCTGGACTGGGCTGGGATGTTTTCTTAATGTACAATTCCTCCTTGATATAAAGTTCTCTCTTACACACGAGTGTCTATGAATGTTTCTCTAGTCAACACTAACAAAAGCAGAATTTTCCTACAACATTTTTGAACACCTTTCATGTTTTTGAATTTGACATTTTAAGGGTGGTTGACTTATTTTACATTACATTCTATCCAAAAACACACTACTAGCATTCAAATTTACACATCAATCAGATGAAGACATGGAAGATTTTTACAAACTTCTGTTGTCTGAAACCAATCAAACATGCATCAAGATACATTGACAATTACTGGGCATTGGAATGCAAAAATTGGAAACAAAGAGGAAGGTCTGGTAGTTGGAAAATAATGGCCTTGATGGTAGAGATGAAGTTGGAGAGATGATAAAATTGTTAAGACCAACAACTTCTCATAGCAAATACTGTTTTTAATTACATAAATGGTCCCTATATATATGTACCACACCAGACGGAATGTACAGGAATCAAATTTACTATATCTGTCGAAGAAATGATGAAGTATCATCAGCCAAACAGAGCATCAACTGCTCAAATGCAAATGCACGTGGAAGCTGAAGAAAATCAAAACAAGTCCATGATAGTCCAAGTATGACTTTGACCCTACCCCACCTGAAACTTAGTAACAGATTTGTTGCCCTGAACATTATTGACCGAAAAACAGAAGAGTTGTGGGATGACATCAAGAACATCATTTATGAAGAAAGCCATTAAAAAAGCACAAAGGAAAAAAGGTCAAAATGGATGTCAAAAAAGATTCTGAATCTTACTCTTGAACACCAAATCGCTAACCAATGAGATGTAGTCAATTAATATGGCCCTTCTAGCCATCGCTCCTTTTGTGATGTATTAATTCTGGGCTCTATGCCTGTGACTATAATCCCATCTTAGAAGATGTTCTGTACTATAATGAACTATATAAATAAAACTGTTTAAAGACTGTAACTCTTTGCAGAAAGACAAAGCCTCCGCTTTCTCCTTCAGAGCAGCTGGTGGTTTTGAACTGCTGACCTTGCTCTGTTAGTAGCCCAACTCATTAAGCACTGTGCCACCAGTGCTCTGGCTAGTAGACAGGATTCTGGTGAGATTAAGACCTGACTTTAGTAAAGGGTGTGACACCCTCTGTTTCCATGGGGGTTTTGTTGGGGGCACCTTTAAGACTACTGTACTCAAGGGTGTGACTTAAGACACCATCCTTTCACTCCCATGAAAGCCATTACTCAGTGTAAAAGAGCCATCTGGGACACAGAACTACACCAGGACCATTTGCATGAACAAGTCTAAGATCTCTGTCTGAAGCGGCTGGAGGCTGCCGTCGTTAGATGCAGCAGGCACTGTGATTTGAGACTCCGGAGCAGCACCAAGACCATGGGGAGCATTACCTTCTCATCTGACCCAGGACTGTAGGACTATGAGGGAGAGCAACACACTGGCAACATACTATGAGGGAGAGCAACAACATCCACAAATGTGGATGAAAGGCTTAAGACCAGAGAAACTTGGCTGCTGGCTAGGGAGAGGCGTTGCTGTGGATCAATGCTGTATGCTTGCTATTTGCTGATCCTGACTTGTGGTAACCTATCAACTTCCCTAATAAACCCCCTTCACAGTCTTATAGGTGAGTTCTGTGTGGCCACTGCAGCAAATCACTGACTCTAGTATAGCAGAGTCATGACAGGTAAAGAAGGATGGAGCATGGAGGCAAGATGAACCCTGCCTCGTGGCAATAGGGACACCAGAGACTGTCCCATATGGCCCCTATGCCGTTGGTTGCACATAAAAGGGAGACATGATGAGTAAAACAATTGAACAATAGGTTTCAAAGGGTGGCTAGAGAAGAAAAGTTAAAGTATTCTAATGAAGTATATAAAGATCTTTTAAGTTAGAAAACCAAACTGGAAGAACACACTCGGTATTTCTCTAGCTGAAAGAAATGTAATGAAAAAACTCAATCCTAGAGTTACAACGCTGAAGAATTCTATGGGGAAAATGTTGACAGATGCAGGAAGCATCAAAATAAAAAGAAGAAATACACGAATGACCAAAATGAATTGGTTAACACTCAAACATTTCAGGAGTTAGCGTATGATCGAGAACCACTAGTACTGACTTGCACGCATGCTCCCAGAATTTATGGAACACCAACAGAAATGTTTCAGTAAATGGAAGCAACACTAGTAGTGCTTGTTTGTTCCTACCAAGAAATTTGTAAGACAGCTACCTGGCCAAATGATGGGAAAAGATTCATATTTGTACTTATTCAGAAGAAAGGTGATCCAACAGATGCAGAAATTAAATAATATCATTAGTATCATAAGCAAGTAAAATTTTGTTGAAACTAAGTCAAACATAGCCATGCCAGTACTTCAACAGGGAACTGCCAAAAACTCAAGCTGGGTTTAGAAGAGGGCTTGGTATAAAGGGTATCATTACTGACATCAGATGGAAATTAGCTGAAAATAGGGAATACCAGAAAGATGTTTACTTGTGTTTTACTGACTATATAAAAAGCATTTGACTGTGTGGATCATAACACACTACAGGTAATATTGCCAAGATTGGGAATTGCAGAACACTTCACTGAGTTCATGCAGAAACCGCAGAGAATAACAGGGCACCAAGTGGCTTAAAATCAGGAAAGGAGTGTGTCAAGTTGTACTCTTTCACCATACTTATTCAAAATGCATGCTTAGCAAATGTTCCAAGAAACTGGGCTACAGGAAAAATGCAGAATCAGGTTGGAGAAAGATCATAGCAACCTGCGGTATGTAGGTGATACAAGCCCTGCGGGTTGAAAGTAGGCTTGAAATACTGATCAGTGAAGATCAAAGAGCAGTCTTCAGTATAGGGCGTACCTCAACATCTCAAAACTCAAACTCAATGCCACTGAGTGGGCACTGACTCACAGTGACCCTATAGCACAGGGCAGAACTGCCTCATCTTTCGGCCACAGAGCAGCTTGATGGTTTCGAACTGCTGACCTTGTGGTTCACAGCCCAATGTTTAGCCACTAGACCACCACGGTTCCTGGGATACCTCAACATAAAGAAACAAAAATATTCACAACTACACCAGTAAGCAAATTGTAATAAGAGAAAGGACTGAAGTTATAAAGAACTTCATTTTACTTGGCTCCACAAACAAAACCCACATGCAGCTGTCAAAAAAATTAAAAGATACATTGCATTGAGTAAACCCGCTGCAAAGGACTTCTTTAAAAAAGATTACACTTTGAGGACTAAGATGAGCCTAACTCAAATGTTACTTTTAATTGCCGCATATGCATACAACTCCTGGCCAATGAATAAGGAAGACAAAAAAAATAGATGCTTTTGAATTATGGAGCTAGCCAGGAATACTGAATAGATCAAAGCCAGAAGAACAAACAAGTTTAGGTTGCAAGAGGTACGGGCCAGAATGCTCCTTAAAGTGGGGACAGTGAGACGTCATCTCACATACTTTGGGGCATGTTATCAGAGGGACCAATCCCTGGAGGACATTGGCTTTGGTAAAAGTCAAATGAAAACGAGGAAGAATTGAATTTACAAGATAAACCTATACCAATGGGCTTAAATGTAGACACAATTGTGAGGTTTGCACAGGACAGAATAGTGTTTGACTCTGTTGTATGTAGGATCGCTCAGAATCGGAACCAAATAGATTGATCCTAACAACATTATTCAGAAAATGGGCCCTGGTGGCACAGTGGTTAAGCACTTGGCTGAGAAGAGGAAGGTCAGCAGTTTGAATCCACTGGTCAATCCACTGGAGAAAGATGGCAGTCTGCTTCTATAAAGATTTACGGTCTTAGAACCTTCTTGGGGCAGTTATACTGCCCTTTAGGTTCAGAGTCAGAATTACACATCAGCAATCGGTTTTCATTGTTTAGAAAATAAAATTACCAATACTTGGCGACCATTTGGAAACTGGGGGTGAAGAAATAATGCAGGTTGACTCCCACACTCTTAGCTTCACGCATCGGTAGTTACAATAAATAGAAATGCAAACATAGAGAAGAAACCGTTTGAAGGCATAGCATGCCCATTTTAAATGTTTGTTTATGGTAACAAGCTCTAACTGACAGTCCTGGCTCTAATTTTATTTATTTATTATTATTTTTTGGCATACACACACTACTAGTAAACTAACCTTGTGAAATAATACTCCCCAATTTGAATTGCACTTGACCCAATCCATGGTATTTTCCCTCACCTATGCATGGGAAAGTGGAACACTGAATAAAGAAAACAAAAGAATTGTGGAGCTGGAGAACATTACTGAAAGTACCACAAATTAAAAAGGACAAACAGAGCTGTCTTGGAAGAAGTGGGGCTGCAGCACTCCTTACAGGCAAGGATAAGGAGACTCATCTTACAGACTTTGGACATATTGTCAGGAGAGACCAGTCTCTCAAGAACGACATCATGCATGGTGGAGTGGACGGCCCTCAATGACACGGACTGACGCAGTGGGTGCACCATGGGCTCACATAGGAATACTCGGAGGCCGGCGCAGGACTGGGTAGTGTTTCATTCTGTTGTGCACAGGGTTGCTAAGGGTTGGAACCAACTCAATAGTTCCAACAAAAACAACAATGCAAAAAAACATAACAACAACAATGCAGTGTTGCCTCACTGTTTCTCAAGACATTAAGTCTAAATTCCTTGGACTAGCATTCAACAATCTAAGACTTATTTACTCTAGCAAAAAAAAAAAAAAGCCCAAAACAAATCACAAGACAAACCTGTCAAGCTGATTCTGATGTAGAGACCCTAGAGGACAGAATAGAATTCCCTAAGGAACTGCCAAGGCTGTAGTCTTTACACAACAAACTGCCACATGTTTCTTCAGCTAGCAGCTGGTGGGTTTGAACAGCTGACTTTTGGTTTGGTTTTCAGCTGAGTGCTTAACCACTACACCATCAGGGCTACTTCCTTACTCTACCTCTACAGACTTACTGTTATTTCTTGCCATGATAATCCTAAATATTCACCCTCTTCTCCCCAATCAAGGAACCCTGGTGGCCACAGTAGGTTATGCATTGGATTGCTAAACTCAAGGTCTATAGTTCAAACTCACCACCAAGGTCTATAGTTGCTTGTCTGGGGAAAGATGAGGCTTTTGGCTCCCGTAATGATTTCACAGCCTCAGAAATGCACAGGAGCAACTCTATTCTGTCCTTCAGGGTCACTATCCGTGGGAATTGAATCGATGCAGTGAGTCCGGTGTTTTCATTTCTCCCCTGGTCATCCTGTTCACCTCTTCCCTGCTCCATGACATCTTCCTTATCCCAGCCTCAGTACTCAGTCCCACAATGGCTTCAGATGCCCAATGGATGGAATGACTTTCCTTTAATCCCCACCTATCCGAAGCTTATCTATCACACAAGGCACTTCAGTCCCCATCTCCATGCTACGCCAAAACCTGTTTGCTGTCCATAGCTTCTGCTTTTAATACCATATGATGTCACAAGACTGACACGGTGGCTGCAACATGGACTCAGGCATATGCACACGTGAGGATGGCACCGGACCAGGCGGTGCTTCGGTCTGTTGCACATAGGGTAACTATGGGTCAGAACCAACTGGGCAGCAGCTGACACGACAACCTAAGGTCAGAATCTACTGCTTCCTGCACTTGAATTTCACCTCCCTGAACAGACTCTCTAGGTTCTTGAAGGGAGAGTGCTTTATATTTCTCTTCCCTCACAGGAAGGGGCACAATTCCAATCCACAGGTTTGTTCATCAAATGCTAAGGAGTTGCCAGGGTCATGTTTAAAAAACAACTAGTTAAAATACCTGCCCTCTTGACTCTCTACAGCTTCTGGCCTTAAGTTCCAATTTTTACAAAAACTCAAAAAAATGTGTATACAATGTATCTTCCGCCCGTACAAAAGATGTCAAGCAAGCATACCAAAAGCCTATTGCCTTAGGGTTGATTCTAACTCAAGGCGACCCCATTCCTTACAGGGTACCGCTGCTCCCCAAGAACTTCTTGGCCACAATCTAGATTTTTTCGGATCCCTGGGTCTCTCTTGCACTCCCTGCACTCCCTACTGAATGAGTGCGAACAACCCACTTTTTCAGTTAGAGTGTAAAACACCCATGCAACCTGGGCCTTCCTCCAAACAGGGTCAAACTTCCACAGAATGCAGTGTCATTCGAGAAAAAGGTCCAATCCTGCCGCTGGCTTGGCCAAAAATGAAGACTGCTGCTTTTTATAAACTTTCCTCAATGTACCAATCAGGTTCAATGCCCTCCACGTTCCTGCCACCTACTCCCCAGCACAACGAATTTAACAATCTCAGAGCAAGCCTTAAATATGTTTGCTCATCCTTTTGAATGAAACAGCCTTTTCCCCTCTAACATCTTCCTGAAATGCCACTTCCTCTGCTCAAACATCCTCAACTGCCCTAGAGGGAGCGACTCCTTCCTCTCTGGTCCTGATGAGTTACATGTTGACACATTCCCCACGCTACACCCTCGCTTTTAGAACCAAGGTCTCTATTCTAATATGCCCAGTACTGGGCCGGCTCAGTCCTCCGGAAACGAATGTCACTCAGTGACCATACAGGGACTTCAAACTAGGCATACGAGACCCGCTTAGCCTTTGCAATCATCTAAGACTTAGATTCTCAGTCCTCCATAAGGCGCGTAAAGGGCACGGCTTTCTGAAATTGCAAGCAGCAAGTATGCAAGTCAAAAGCGAAGTTCTTACCAACAGTACAACCGCTGAAGAAAACGGGCTTTCTGGCGCTCACGGCACGCCGTTTCTGCTGGAAATCGTTTTTTCCAGCTTCTCTGGGGCTGCGGCTAGTCACGTTAAACATCACCTATTCCCTGCTAGGGCTCCTACTACCCCCCTGGGAGATTGAAAAATCTGACCGACCTCACCACGTACAAGTTCGAACAAGTCTTGGGGGGCCACCGAAGCAAAGCTGACAGGGCTGGCTTCTAAGGTGAACAACGCCTCGGTCCTACTTTTTGAAATTCAAAAAATTCTTTTTGAAAATCCAGGCAGCGGAAGCTGCAAAAGCCGGCCCGGAGCCGCTCACCTTCCAGGATGGACACAACGATGAGCAGCTGGTCGGACTTGGAGACCATGGTCGCGGCCTCCGGCCCGCAGGCGGGGTCTGCTGGAGGAAGAGGGGC